AGAGAGAGAGAGAGAGTATTTCATGTATGATTTTTTCATATTGAAAAAGTTAAAAATATTTTATTTTGACATTGTTCTATGTTCTGTGTTATTGTATTTATATATTTACATTTCTGTCTCGAACTAATAAGACCCAGCATTTATTAATAACACACACACACACACACACACACACATTTTGTCAGATTAAAAATGTTAGAAAACAAATTTCGATTATATTCAATTTTCAAGTTTCAATAATATCACGGAGTTTGATGATGAAAAGAGAGACTTTTGTCGTTCCCTTTACTCTTATTCACGCTTTGGAATTCTTTATTGGTTTGAGAACCCCTGCTGTAGAATAAAATATGTGCCACGGCCTTGCACTACCACCAACGTACAAAAGTGAAAGAAACATTATTTTTATTTACGAGATGTAATTTTTTATGGAGAGAGGCAGCACGACGCTATCTCACCGATGAAGAAGCAGAAGAACAACGGTCTTCTATTTTGCTAAGCGCGATGGAGGAACTCTCCTAGCAACGCGCAGTCCGTTATCAGTGATCAGTGATACCAGTTTTGGAACCGTTACATAGTCACGATCCTGTTCTTTGAGATTAGCTTTGTAAGATAACTGAACTACTGTCTACACTTACTACTTACGCAAATATTAAGCTCAACATTTATATCAGACAAGAAGGTCTTACTTTTTTGGATATCTAGATTTGTGGACGTGAGATAAAAAATGTGTTAAAACTTTTTTAAATCTAAAAATTAAATGTTAAAAATTTTTAAATTGTAAAAGTAAATGAAAAGATATCAGTGAGCTTTTCGATGGAATTTAATAATTAAATCTAATACATATACACGTCCAAAGATCTAGAAATCCAGAAATCCAGAGACCCCAGAGATCTCAGAAACCAGGAATTTTAAAGTTCAAGGATCTAACGATCTGAAAACATAAAAGAGTCCTAGAATATAAGAATTATCTTTATGCACGTATATAGTAGGAAGATTTTCTCTAAAGACACAGTAATACATTTCTGCCAAGTAGCAAATATAGATAGTTTATAAGGATCACCCACACGCATACATACATACATACATACACGATTATAATAATCCTTCATAAACTTTTTGTATTTAAATTCGAATAGAAAAGATATTGTCATACATTTTCCTGATTTATGAAAAAAATCATACTTAGAAAACACATTTATCACAGTTTATATATAAATATATATTATAGAAGTATAATTATATATAGCGATTATATTGGCAGAAATTTGGTACAGTGGTGTTAGAATTATTTGTTTATTATCTGTTTTACAGTTTATAACCAAAAACTATTTTATACATAGACTCTTGAAGTTCTATAATGAGCGTACTTGTTTATCTTTTTTATTTCTTCGTTTCATCAAATAAAATCTTTTAATTTCTTAGTTATTATTGATCATTATTATTATTATCATTATATTGCGGTTATTGGAAGAGACAAGTTAATAATTATGCAAAAAATAATTATGTATATCTTGGATTAACAACAAATATTTATGTATCAAAAAAATTTTATTCAAAACAATCTGAAAATGCAAAATTTAAAAATTTATAGATTTTAAAATGAAAAGATAACACATTAAGATTCTTTATTAGAGTAAGAAGCTTTATTTCAAATATATTGACGCTAAGAAAAATTAAAGCAACAATATGAATTTAAGCAGATGGATCTCTCTCTTTAATTGCACATCTTTTCCAGTTAACCGCCGGATGTTATTATTATTATTATTATAACGTAGTACGTAGTACTTGTTGAATAATTATACTTACTGTTTACCAACTATTTTATTAAAATATAGTCGTACAAAATATTCTTATACACACACACATATAT